TTCTGTTTGTTGAATTGGAAAAGGATATATCAGACCTAGAAAAAATGAAACGAGCTACCAAAACAATCAGGGAGGTCAAACAATTACACTGTGAGAAAGATCTGTAGTATTTGGGACCATTTTGTTTGCAAAAAAGGTGAATGAAGATAGACACATTCAAAACGTACAGTCATACCTGACATGGAAAAAGTACAGAGGAAGAAGTATTTTCGCCCTCTCAAAACATTGGGACCAGGAATCATCTAATGAAATTGACTGAAAGATTTAGAACAGATAAAAGAAATTATTTGTCACACTGACCTTACTACCTGTGGCTTTCATTGCCATAAGAGATGGTCTTAAAACAGAACTGGATAAATTCATGGAGAACAAACTTCTTTTGGCCTTGAAGATGCAGTTTTGCCTTATATTTGAGGTCAGCATTTGACAGATACCAGTTCTAAGAAAACAGTGGTAGGAGTGAGACATATTTCCACCTCTTATTTGTGAGCACCCTAGAGCCTTCTGACTGTTTTAAGAAACAAAATGCTGGATTATTATGGACCGTGGCTTGATCTATTTTTCTATTTTGCAGATCAGAAAATTCAATATTTGAAAGTGTGCTTGAATCAGGATAAATAAAATTTTGTCAGCTTTCTTTCATCAGAGTCAAGCATTTCCTCATCCTCACCTATAATTTTGCTATAGTTTTTATTGTTTCCAATTTTTTTATAGCTAATGTTTATTTTCATTGATTAAAAAACAAAAAAAGAGAAAAGAATACACTACATACATGTAAATATATAGCACAATGCATCTAAATTAACTTATATTGTTAATATTTTTGCTATTGCATAAACTACACTAAAGTGAAAATTGAAATGATAATTCAAAATATGGAATTATCAAATCAAATCAAAATTTTTAAAAACCACAGAAAAGTGTTATTGTAGTGTTATTGTAAGTGTTATTGTCTTTTTAGGAGATATTACAACTAAAAAAGGAAAAAGTATTCAATCTTACTTTGTTCTCTTTTTTTCTCCTGACCGCTACCTCTTATTTAAATATTTTTATAACATGTTTTAAACTTCTGAGATTATTGCTTATTTTGATTTAAATTTTTTTGACGATTTTTTAAAACATTTTTCTTCTGAAACCACATTCTGAGTATCTTAACTTTCCTTACTGTGTGTGGTGATTTCCAATTTCAGTCTAATATAATGCAAACATTGAGTGCAAACAGCATAACTTTAGAAAGTGCAGACCCCTCTATATATTGAATAAAAAAACAAGCATTTTAGTTCAAATGTGTGTGCACTTTACTCTTTGGGAGAAATATTATTATGTATCAAAACATTTAAGGATGCAATTCACACTCATTAAAATCAACATTCATAACATTTGGCATTTAATCTTAGCATTGCGTTGAACCCAAATCAGAGACTACTTAAATAATCATCTGATAGGTGCAATTTATAACAAAACCTGAAGCTTGTCAAAACTGAGAAAATAAGTCTGTTTTGTGATTTATAGATGATAGACAGACAGACAGACAGATATAGAATGATCTAGGAAGCACATTGCAAACGGAATAGAACTGCAGGAATAGGACATCTTTAGAATTTTATTGGTAACAGCAAAATTGCAGTAGACTATATCCAGTAAAGACTCTCTTAATTGAAGAGAGAGTTCCTGTAATTAGCTTTGAAGTATGGATTAATGTGGTCAGGATAGAGGTGGTATATAACTTTCTATAACTTATAGAAATATTAGTTTTTATTATGAAAGCTAGTGGATTTTGATCAGAACACAGGGGATAATAATTGAATTGAATTGATTTAGTTTATATGCTGGCCCATCTCACTACCAAGTGACTCTGGGCAGCCCTCTTATTGTAAGATGGATCCAAGTATCCCTCTTTAAGAAATATTACAGTTTTAACATTGTCATATTATGTTAGGTTTTTAATGCTCCTCCGACTGCAAAATGCTTGAAGACAGGATGCTACAGATGGATTTGAAATTTTGAAGCAAGAAAAAACTTGATGTTGTTATTCTAACTAAGTAACAAAGCGTTTAGTAATTGGTAAGACTTTTGGAGATTCCACAATAATATACTGAAGTATCATTATTTGTAAGAATTTATCTTTAAGAAATCAAATATTACATTTTAAAAAGAAAGCCAACATACTTTTATGATCACATCATACCAACTAGGCTGTATTTCTGAATTTATTAGAAACAGCGGTCAGTACATCCTTCTAAAACATTACATTTAAATGTGCTTTATTGCAATTTTTATTGCATTTTTATTTTAAAGCAAAATAGGCCAGAATGCTTAGTGTCTGGAATTCCAAAGCTCAACCATCTATTTTTTAAAAATAAAAAACATAAACATCATAGTACACTTGGTGACACATATGATGTTGCATTACTCATCTAGAAACTACAATATGATTAACATACAACTGTTTTCTTCATGAAGCAGTTTCTTTTCAAAAGTTAAACAACATGAATTGGGCTACATCATAAAATGACAGAACAGGTTTTACAGACCAACACGAATACCAAAGTTACATGCTGGAATTCATATTAAAAAGAATAAAAATAAAAACAATTGTGGTGGCTTCGAGAGAAGCAAATCTTTTGATAGAGAGTATCCCTTAAGAGGAAAACCAAAATGTATTTCAAGAATGCAGTGCTTAGGTGTGAGATGTACAAAGGAGTGCACATTCCTAGCATACTCCATTAAAATTAATAACGGTATATTCTTAGAGAAAATGATATTCTATTTATATCTATAGATATAACTGTTTCCATATGTTGCAATTAATGCTACAGTACTGCTCTCCTTTGCACACTATTTCTAGATGATGTGGCTTTCACTTTAAAAAATGCAATTGTTACTTTATCTCAAAAGAGTTGAGGGTTTGTAGAAAGCATTGCAACTTTGCTTTATGAGATAAGACTCACTTTACTTTTTGTAGCGAGGCAGTCAAAATATGATCCCAGTTTCAGGCTAAATGGTTCCAGCAAGAGCAGGTGGGCAATTTGGACCCAGTGGGGAAGTGCATTTATCTATATACATGTAGTACACTTGCTCACACTCAAATACACAAACAGAAAAGGTTGCAGAGCAATAAATGAATGGGGCTGAAAAGTGGCAAAACAATTAATACTCATGTTTCTTTATAATCAGTCGCCCCAAACTCAAACTCTATACAGGTTGCTAGCTTGGAGTAGAGGTGCAAACAGCTGGGGCAAAGGGATATGGAGAATATTGTCCCCTACAAATTCCTGGAAATAGTTCTGTTTTCCTACAAATCTGTTACCTGCCTTAAAAAAGGCTGCAAGGTGTTAACTGCAGTCCTTCCACTGTTGTAGGCAGATTGCCAAATCATGTGGAAAATCAAAGTAGATTCTAAATGACCCATTGTTTTATTTTTAGTGTTTCAGTTTTCTTCTGTTGAACTCAGAGTTGTTTCTGTGCTATTTGCTCTGGAGAGCTCTTTAAATTATATTCTAAATTAACAGGGCTTGTATCAAGACATGTTGCTGAAAACATATTAAATAGAAAAATTGGCTTAAAAACTATGGTGCCAGCCAAAATGGCAGTGCTTGAACCTTTTTTTTTTTTTTTTTGAAAAGTCAGATTATTAATATGAGGTGAAATAAAAATCATTTGTGTTATCATTAAAGTAATTCTGCATATTTGCTATATGTAGAAATATTCAAATCATTTCCTTTTTTCCAGAATCATACTGCTATCTGTCCATCTATGACCATTAAGAAAACAACTGATTCTTTGTATTTCGATGTGGCTTTTGCATTTTCAAAAAAACTTGTAAGGCCAACTAATATAAAATCAAGTGCCTGGATTGTGATCTATCCCATTGGAACAAGAAATTCAATCCAAAAAGATTGAACAACTTCACACAACCTTTATATATTTCTTTACATTTTCTCCAACATATGGGGCTTATAGTAGAATTTATCATGTTAAGTTTCCTTGACATTAAGTATCATCTGTAAAATACTGTTTTCCCTAATTTTTGCTGAAATTTATTTCTATTGCTTTAGTTTTGTGAGGGTGCTAATATTCCAAAGGAAAAGAAACCCTGACCCAGCATTTCCATAGCATTAGTTAACTGCCACTTCTATTTCACTGTCCACAACCCCCCTCCCCCAATGTGAGATAATGGAAGATTGTAGACCAATAAAAACATAGGAGAATGGAAAAGAGGCACTGTTGGTAGTGAAGACATCTACCATTGGCAAAGAAATATAGCCAATAAAAGTATGCTGGGATAGAGTGTTGGCCTAAGTACAACAGCAACAAGGTCTGCAGAGCCCAACTTTTTGATGACACAGAATATTTTTCTTGACTTAAGCAAGAAGAAGCAAGAGGTGAGTTGCAGGAAGTATTGTGACATTCCTAACGCTTCTAGGAAGGTGGAGAAAAGCCTGGGTTTGAAGAGAAGGACTGATGGCTCAGTATAAAGAAAAGCAAAGATAGCAACACAGAAACTAATGGTGGCTCCTCATTCTTAATGTTGAATTTAGCATCTGCCTAATCAATCCAGAAAGAACAAACCATTATACTTTTTAAAAAAAAAAAATTATTTATGCCCTAACATATTTCCACTGTATGTTTGAAAACAATCCTATCCTTGGAGTAAGATCTTTAGTTTTGTTTTTTAAACAAGAATAACTTTTACTATCAAAATTGCTGACAATAAAATCTACAGTTAATTTTGGCTATACTCTAAGCAAATAGGGAGTTTCAAGAAATGAAAAGAATTATGCTTCCAACTGCAATTCTCTTTAAGGGCAAAAGAAGACTGTATGTAAATTTATCTCAGAAGCATATCCAAATATCCCAAACCATAAATCACTGGTTTAAGGATTAATGTGCACAAATAAAAATAAACATATGAAACCAATGATTGATCGTATATTCAAATGCTTGGCTACAGTCACACATAACCTGTAACCTAAAAAAAAGTTTGCCACAATACATACTACCACTTTAGTTTTTTATTCCCCATTAACTGTAAATTTAAGGTACACAAAATTTAAAACAAAAACAAACAAAAAACCCAACAACCATACATTTCATCAGGAAAAAAAATCAAGTACCAAAAAGGGCTTTTCCAAATTTGAAAAAGAGCAAAAAAGCAAAATTGCTACATGAACAAACACTGTATTAAGTCACTGTACATCTTGTCAAGACTTTCCATAGTGAGTGCCAATGTTTATCCCCCAAATCTGTAACATAGCACTAAACATGTCCCTATTTCTTTAAACAAACCACTATCTACCTGTTCCAAGACAGATTGAATGACCTGTCTCTATTCCTGAGATTATGCAGGTTGGTGTCTTGTAGAATTAATGTGGTTTCTTTTATTTTAATCCAAGTGCTACATTATATAAAAAATACAGTATGACTGGAGAAATTGCATATAAATGAGTTCAGTGTAGATGGATTTGATAGATGTAGCTGGAAATTGGAATACTGTATTCCGGCATTAAGAATGTCACGCTTAGACCTTGATCCCAATGAATCCTATGGATGTGCAAGAAGTTGGTAACAGTGGTAGTTTATATGACCTTTTTGAAAAATAAAAATATACAAAAGTACTTTGAGGCAGTGTAAGAGAGAATGGAGAAACAAACAGCTCCAGTTTGCTCATATGAGCCTTTGTATGTTTAAAATGGGTCTCTAGTTCATAAACTATTCATATGATTAAATGAATGGTTCAGGGTTCTGCTTAGGGCTAAGAGTGCAAAAGAGATGTTATACCCTAGATATTACTGCTTCTTGAAACCTCCAATTAAATGTATGCATTAGTTCTTATTAAGTACCAGTGGCAAAGAAATTAATGACCAGAGGTACTGGCATTTCAATTGTTTTTTAACCTGACCCACTGAGCATCATAGCAAATTTAGCAATTGCATAAAAATGAACTTGTGAGAAAACAAAATACTGTAAAATTCTCAATCATAACTCTGAATATTAGACAACACTATTTCGTCCACCCCATTTACCATTTAACACTGCAAAAACAAAGAATGGATCATCAAGATCAGCATTTTTTAAAAAAATCATACTTTTTAACAACCCAAATATTTTTGTTTTCAGAAGCAAATATTTTTGCTTTGCTTTTTGGATGTACACATTCATTCATTGATTTGACTTCTGGACTTTTGTTGTTTTCTGTTCATTTTAGCTTTGCTGTTAGCCAGTGATGCTTGTAGGGCAGCTAATCCTAACAATCAGGCAGGAGAATTAAGAATGCTGCCACTTGAGGTCAGCTAAGTCCCACTAATGTAAAAAAATTATTGCAGTCAAGGACATTAAATCAAGAACGCCTGCTGAAGCTGAATGCAGATGGTAAAACATATTCTCTATATATTTCAATTAGGTTTTAAAGAGTGAAAAACAATAGAGCCATATTCATAAACTGGATCAAGGTGGCTCCTGAGGTGTATATGAAATAGATAATGTTTAAAGGAAGTGTACATTTCAGAATTACTGAAATCAACAAATTCCAGTGAGTTTGAATGGGTAAACAAGGTGAAATTTATTCATAATATGGGAGTTGGTAGATTATATACTGGCAATCCATTTTATGTTTATATTTTAAATAGAAAGACTGATTATTGAAGGCCCAGAAAAGTTCCACTGTTGTTGACATATGACTTTTGTAGCCTAACCAGTACTTGAAAAATGTGCAAGTGCCAGATCAGACTGTACAACCTGCCTGGCACCCAGAGGATCTCCGTGCTATTTCTGAAAACTAGCAAATTCGAAGACACATTTAGCAGTAGAAACTTTGCTGGTGAGTAAAAGTAAAGTGTGGTGACTAGGCTTTATTTAAGAGGATGGGAAAGGGTCATTCATTATCTTTGCAGAAGCCTAGGGATTACACAGCTACAGTTCTTTTCACAAAGAACTACAGTCAATCCAGTTTTTTTCTGAAGACATTGCTGCAGCTCTTGGTTTAAATGGCAGTAGAATAGTGCAAATCAGAAGTGCTGTTGGGACATATTAAGCAGTCTACTTTGGCCCCTCCAGCTGATAATTAGAACTCAAGATTTTTCAATTCCTGTTCAGCAATTTCATATTCTGCATAATACATATGCTTTCTGTAGTGCATTCTGCTATATGTAAACATTTGTAACAGTCTGGGGGCTCAAGATGTCATGAAAGCAAGGTAAAGACAGAAGAGGTCCATGTCCCAATCCCCTGGCATGCACTTCATGCTGAATTTGCTTGTTTCCCCCTTCCTTTGTGTAAGCAGTTGTTCTAGCTCAAGTATACCGAGAAAATTCAAGAAAATTATATGTGGAGTGACAAAATGACAGCATTTTTAGGAACACAAATTCTTAAGTCTAGTGGATCCAGTTCTCATTATTTGCTATTATTATTTGATGTTACACAGAATCTAGATGGATCTGATGACAGCAGAAAACCAAGCACAGCTGTTTATATTCCGTTAAATTCTACCACTTTTATAGCTTGAGCAGTCTGACAAAATTCAGTTACCCAAATATTTGCTTGATGGTAAAACAACAATGAATCATAAGGATACGTATACAATCTGTGCAATGGAATTAATGATTTAGGGTGCAAGTCAAACATTACAAGTAAAATTATTGTAGCCAGTTTCAACAATATATAGACTGCACTCATAGGGATTTTTTTTTTTTTTTGGTTTAGCAAGCCACTGAGAAGCAATCCATTGCACTTTTCAAGAATTTTTTTTTATAAAAACAAAATCAAACAATGTTTTCAAAACAGCAAAAATTATTAAGCATTTTAAAAAACATGCCAAGAGCCCGCTTCATTCTGGTATACATTCCAAAGCTTAGTATCTTTTAAAAAGAACATCTGAAATAGTTATAAGAAAAGAAAAATGTTAAAAACTAATGGGGAAAAAGTGGTGCAGTTACATCAGGTCAGTTATAAAAATGACATGAGAAAGTTTTAGCTTTCATAATTTTCTCTTCAAGTTTTGGCAAGTGTGCGATTGCAAATGCAATTATCCCCATAAGTGCTCAGTCCAGCAATGAGAGAAGTTTTGTTGGATAAAGTTTGCTTTTTTAAATTTGAAGATCTGTAGTGCTGTTGAAACTGAAACTTTGTTATTGTTGGTAATATATAAAGCAACATTTCTTTGAGGATATTCTTTTAAGAATGAACCTGAAACTTCCCCCAAAATTCCTTTGGTCTCCTCTCACCAAATACCATGCTACATCAAGATGAGCCCTCATTTGTAAGTTATTCTAACTTGCAGCAAAGTTGCTAAAATTAACACGGAAAAGCTTCTTTAGGTGAGCCTTTCTCCTATTTTCCTGGAGTTTAAGACTGAAAGACGTTACCAATACCTCAGAAAAGAAAAATCCATGTAGAAATTCCATTGATGGTGCCAGGCAAAAATGTTCCTACAATTTTGCTTCAATGGATTTTTAAACACAGAGTTTGAGAGAGTTTTCTTGTTCTTTTTGGGAAATCAAGAGGCAGTCTCCTTATGAACACAGCTGATCTTCAGGTAGCACTATGGTACCTATCCCGAAGCTGTTGCTGCTAAGTTTCCGATTCACATTCATCATATAACTTCTTGTGCAAAACAAGCAGTCTAAGGAGAAAGAATGCCCTCTGGGTTCTAATAAAAATTGTAGAAAAGAAATTCGAGATAACCAACACTTCACCTATACTTCATCTTCCTAAAATTTATCTACAAAGGGAGGGCATCTGTGCGTAGACAGGATAAGCAAGACGGACATTTAGAGAGTCGTTGTGTTGGACGAGAGAGGTATGCTGGTAATGCAGGACTAATTCTTTAAGGGTGCTATATAGGTTATATGGCTCTGCAAACCCATAACCTCTTGGAGTGCTGTAGATCACACAGTGTTTAACTTCACCTTCAGTTCTGTTAAGGAAAAGAAACAACATTTAATGTGATAAATGTTAGAAGATTACAATAAAAAAAGATTCAGAAATTAATGGACCATATAGTTTAAAAATGTTTTTTTAGCTCTATAATCCAAGCTATTTTTTAAGAAGATTTTCAGACCATTAAGACATCTATACTTTTAACAAATGTGGAGCTGTATCTAAAAGATTACATGTATATCAATTCTACCAAAATAGTTTTGTTTTTAAGTAATAGAATTTAGACCAATGGGGAAAACTGAAGAATGAAATATTTTGTCAAAAGAATGAGTGAGAATGAAGAAAAACCCCGTTTTTAAAAACAGCCTCAAATGCCAATTAATTATATCATTTATTTCATTAAAAGATTTGTATCTCACTGCTTGCTCTAGTGATTTTATAATTGTATAAAGCAATAAGTTCACCAAAGAGAGAAACATTAGGGGAATTGTGGCTGGGGAAGTCCATTATAAAAAGTCAAGTTAAAACATGCTGGTATTATCTTTAAAAAGTTTTTAAGAACTAAAGAAAATAACCTTAAAGCAAAAAGCGGATAGATTGAATCACTCCCACTCTAAAGCAAGCTCTTCTAATATAGTTACGCTTTGCAAGTGTGCTGAGAGCTTTCAGGTAGTTCATAAAGCCAATACTTACACCACAGAACAAGCATAGCAGCCTTTCTTGCTACTTTCTCGAATTAAAAATGCTCCATCAGGTTTCCCGCAAAGCAAATCTTCTGCCTGGATGCGATTGATGTCTCCCACAAACCAAGTCTTTTCATCATAATGTGGCAGATTTTCATCTTCCTCATTCATAAAATATGTACTAGGGAAACAACAAATCCTTTTTCCTTAATGCAGGTTTACCTTTTATACTACTTATTCTTGAATAAAACAATGTATACAAACATCGGCAAAGCCTTGCCTTAAAAAGAACATGCAACACTACTACTATCAACTTTTGTTAGAAGCATGACACAAACTGTGGAGTAGGTATCGGGCGTCTCATATGTAAATGTGCATGCGTATAATTAAAATAATGAAAGAAGGAGGTACTGAAGCATTAGTTACATTTTTATGCTATATTCTACATATGGTAAAATCCATTACAATAATAAACTTTACTTTTTAATGAAAGTATGTAAAACAGAAAGTATCAGTGTTATTTGGCTGTTCTTATGGATTTTTTTTAGACATAGTCTTTGACTAAGAAAATATACATATTTATGTGGTGATGACATTATTCTAGCACAGATCTGTACGCACCTCTACTAGGATTTTAAATACAGTTTGATAGCAATATAACATTAAACAATTGCACTTACTCATCAACAGTTTCATTTTTGATTCCCAGCCAGTCATTAATTCGTTTCTGCCTTACTCCTTTATGATTAAGCCAGCTGCCAAAGAGAGACAATACTAGTTATTAACTTTCTATAATGATTTGGATCATTCCATCAAATGCTTCTCCAAGATCCCAAGAATACTAGACCTATTATTTTATCAATATAAATGGTTTTATCACAGAACTATCCCCAGCAATAATGTTTTAAGAGAGAAGAAGACAGTTGTGCTTCTTTTGTCTGTTTGTACATTATGTGACATTTACTTTCTTGGCAAAAACAGCTGATTATGGCATAGAAAATATTTGTGGTATGTAAGAACATATCCTTCCTCCTTCTTCCCTCAGTAACGAGAGAGAATGATTGATTTATTCAATGATGCCCCCAATCATCATAACACTAATGCACGAAGTAGTCACCATATTGCAGAATGGCATAATTGAACTAATTAGTCTATGAACATTGCATTGCCTTTAATTTCAAATTGTCTGGGAATATGGAACAAGAATAGTATTGAACAAGCGCTGAGAAGGCTAGCTAAATTTATAATTCTTTTGTGTCAAGAAACTCACTTATCTTATACTATGTTATTATAGTAGAGGCAAGCAGTAGTGGGGAAATTGACCTGGTTGGCCGTGGTTTTTTGCTTTTAATTAGAATCCCACTCTGAATCAGGAACCTTTTATATTAATTAAAAACTATTTAAACATTTTAAAAAACCTTTTATAATATCTTGTTTAGTTTTGTTACCATTCTCTTGGAATTAAAGCAGAGACTGGGTGTTGTAGTAGGTAGTGAATAATGGTTAGGTGCTTAGCTAGTGCTTACTTACACAAGGTACTGATCTCTGATTTTGCGTAGCTGGATAAGATCAGGTTTGATACTGTTCATTTTCTTGTCTGTTTCTCGGTTGTCCAGGGCTTGCTTCTTCAAATCTTGTTCCAGTCGCATCTTACTATCATGAATCTCACCCAGGCGTAATTTCAATTTTTCATAATTTATCATAATCCTATAAAACAAAATCTAGTGTTTTTAGAAGTTACAAATACACTTCTCAAACTAAAATATTCTGATTTTAAAAGTATTCACATATTTTATCCATAATTATATAGAACCCAAATCAATAGCATGCACTCTACAGAATTCTTGTCCGACTTGAAAACATCCCATTTTCAGTTCCTCCTTTAAAAAAAAAGCCTTAAAGTTTTATTAATAGTACCCTGTTTCCCCCAAAATAAGACATCCCCTGATAATAAGCCCAGTCAGGCTTTTGAGCGCATGTCAATAAGGCCAAGGGCTTATTTCAGGGTTTAAAAAAATTTAAGGCAGGGTCTTATTTTCAGGGAAAACACGGTATATACACATGTCAACCTCAATCAGCTAAATTATCTTCATTATATCAGGAAAAACCCTTATGGTATCTATAATGTACCTAGAGCCCTACAAACTGCTTTGATGTGTCTCAGGTGATAGAAGTGATGAGACTGAAGACAGAACTTTGATCTCAGAGGGAAACCCTGAGGTCTCTTCTTGCCTTTTTGCCAGCCTCCAATGCTGGGTCTTTGATAAGATGAAATATCTTGATCCAGGAAAGTCCTAGCACAAATATGAAAGAGGGCTGAGAATATGATGCTAAACCTGATGTAGAGAGCGTAGAGAATGTCTTTGAAGGACAGTGGAAGGATCCATGACCAAGCTAATGATCAGATGAGCACAGAGACTTTTCTAAGAAACAAGTGTCAGCAGCTGACACTTGCCCCCAGCTTTCAAACATTTCTGTTACCAAGAAGGGGATTGTTTTCTCCTCAGTCTGACCATTTCCTTCTTTCAGATAATATTTAAATGCTATTGTGAGGAAGACAAATGACATGCTGTGTAAAAATGATTTTGGCATATGGTATCAGAATCTGAACTAAAAGGAAATTCAGTTATATAAAGAGTATTGTTCTGCTGCTATAATTATACCTCTAGAATATGTAAAAACGTCATTCAACACGATTGTGTTATTAAATTTTCCTGCTTGGTTGTATCTCTGTCCTATAAAGATTCTGCTGACTTCAAACAGCATAATTAAGTTTTTAAAATTACAATTAATATATACCTGAACTGTTTGTCCCTTAATTTAGAAAATGGAAATTCAAAATATTTTTTAAAGACTGTATATTAAAACCATTAAGATTTCTGAGCTCAAAAAAATATTCCTTTAATTCATAGCTGGAAACGGCATACTTATATAATGACTCCAGATTAGTTATTTAGGTACTCTTTAATATTTAATGCAGCTACTTCGGAGCTGAGTGAGAACAATTAAACAATATGGGGCTGACAATGTAACTACCATACTGAACTAAGTATTATTAGTAGGTATAGTATTTGGTAGACTTACCGTTCAATTTCTTTCTCATTCCCTTCTCTTCGAAATCGTTCAATGTATTCTTTGCTATACCGTTCTTGGGTGTGGCACTGCTCTTCAAATATTTTAATTGTTTCATTAAAAGCTTCTATCGCTGTCCTCTTCATCTGAATTTCCTGCAGAAAGCATTCCATTTAAAATATAATAGTTCACAACCAGAAGCATAAAGCTATTAGAATGACTTCTTATGTATCACCATTGCATGAAAATATAGCACACTCTTAATTTAGGGGGCAACATTTATAAAATTCAAGCTTTTTTAACACTTTACATTTTGTTAAAATTGATTCAAATTCAGATTTGTTACCTTACTTGATGAAAAAAGCAACTATGTAAGTAAAGAAATTAAAGTGGCCTCAACCATGAAGAACTAAGTGAACCTAACCAAAACCAAATATGAACCCTCCAGCTTTAGAACTTAATGTAGAAGCACAAGAAAGTTTAAGGAGGGAAGCAACTTGAAAAGCAAAAATAATGTAAAAGCAGGTCTATTTGCATGAAATAGTGATAAGATATGAGAAGGAGCTTTCATAGATGATGTGATAATTTTTCTAATATGTTTCGCAACAATGCATATTCTGTTTTTCTTCTGAATGTGCCCATCTGGGATTTTTTTTTAGAAATAAAGAATAGGAAGTAGCATTCCAGATGTGGTTGTATCTCAAAATGTCTAGCACATATGAAAATGCTTCCTCTTCCAGAAGGTTTATTGCCAAAACTAAGAACCACCTTGTAATTCTTGAATTCTGCAAGAATAGTTCCCACCTGGAACATAGACTTTTCATATACATGATGATATAATCTCAGTTTAGAGGGAATGTAAAATTTTATAAAGGAACAACTATAAATAACTATTAATAGAGCAGCTTGGTTCAAGTCACAAATTATAATTTCATATTGGCCTCTGATATTTAGTAAAATAGCATGTGCGGGGTAGAAAAGAGCAAACCAAATGCTTTTTTTTTAAAAAAACCCAACCCTTCCCATAGCTGTTTTAGTGGTCAAATTGACACATGTATGTTTCAGAATATAATGAAGAAAACTATATATTGAAAATCAAGCACCCCTTTGGTTTGCATGGGCATTTACTGTCAAATTCTATTTTTTGCATAAGTCACCATAAGAAGGTAATCAACTTGCAATATACCTGTGATGTTCTGGTATATTCTTCATATAATCTGTCATATTCTTTACTTTTCTCTTGATATTGAGTGTGGTATTCCTGAAGCTTTTTGCCCACAGCATCAATATTATCTTCTTTTACCAGCTGATCCTGTGTACATCAGAGCAGAAAATAGATATAATTTTCTATGAAAGAAATTCAGATGCTGCTTTCTACCTCGAGGAAAACACATCAATTTTCTTAACCCTATAGCAGAAAGTCAAACCTATCGTACAAAGAAGACAAAGTCTTCTTAATTACCAACATTTCTCCACCCAGATTTTAAATGCTGTTTCAATTACTAAGGCAATCTATACGTCTAAAGACGATATAGTTTTGGGACTTTTTGGGAGATCAACTTTTTTTGGATAAATGCCCAACACTAAGTTTTTAATTAATTGTTTAATCTCATTACAAAGCATGATAGGTTTTCATCAATGAAAAAAAGATATCAAATGCAGATTTTATGATAAGTAGATAAAATTATAATTTGTTCATCTTAGTTTTGCATCAAAATTTATTTAGATAAACTTTTTAAAAAACTTGATGTGAAATTATATTAGATGAACAGATCTCAACCATTATAGTTTAAAAAAGATGCCAAATAATTGATATACATGGTGCAAAGATAAATTCTTAACATCTAAAAAGTGTCTGCATTTATTTACGTTGAAATAGTAAACTTTTATTTTTACATTTTTACAAATGGGTACTCTAAAGTAAAAGATCTTGAAACAATCATATTTTAGCTGTGGTAAATTAAAGTATTCAAATAGGAGTAGAAAAGATTATTCACAGCCTATTTTTCCATAAACATTCAATGAAATCCACCTATACGCTCTTTGAAAACTTACCTGCTGATATTTAGATACAGGATACATCAGCTTCACATCAAGTTTAGGATTATATTGGGCAAGAGATTCATGATGATAATGGTTAATCAATTCCACAACAGAATTAAATGTCAGTGGATCAGAAAAGCCATATTTCCCATCCAGATGATAGATTTTAATTAATTTATTGTTGCCACCCTTCCTAGAAGATAGATAATAACAATCATCAGGTACATAGCACATTTCATTGATGATGCATACAAATCATAACATACTTTATGCTAACACAGAAAGCCAAATAAAACAATTCCTGCATAATTATTTTGCACCATAAATTTTCATTTTCGCCTGTAACACTTCATTCATTTCTTTAATATTAGTATTTTAAAAATTATATGAAAATGCATCCTAGGTAGAGCTTCACCCAAACCTCACTAACTGCTAAGAACACCATGCTTAATTAAAATTTTAAATTAAAATTTGGTAGAGGAAGTTTTTTATGAATGTATAGAAAACATTACTCTTTAAACCTGAGAAATTTTATAAGGCATGATTTGGCTTCTTTGCCTAATTATATGGTCAGATGTTCTACAGAAGTACAAGGAAAATAATTTAGCTGGCCTCAAGTACACTGCAACCATTTGTATATCTGCGTTACTATAGGCAAATAAAACAATTCTTCTGGATTCAATATATTAAAACAATTGGTAGGGTGAACCTGGAAAATTCAATCCTTTCCATTTCCAGATATTGTTTTACTGTAATGTACTTTTCTTGAAGAATTAGTATCTCAAAAACAGCTAAGATAAATATGAAAATATAATTCTCAATAGTTTTTAATCATGTGGTTGTTGCACATATATATGTAACAAAACTAAAAATATGAATGGCCTGTAGAGAAAATGTTTGAAGCAGAGAGCAGAAACAAGCCTTTAGCTTTTGCATTCTTTTTAGACCTATCCCGCATTTACTAAAACAACAGCTGGCATTAATTTTAAGAAAGCAAAATAAAACACTGTATTTGAGGACAAAGAAGCAAAGAAAAAACAAATATTTTTTTTATAATGAAAGATAGACACAAACAGGAATCCCATAAGAAGATAGATCTAATTTATGAGGGTAAATCGCCCCAGATTACGAATTAATTTACAAGAGAGAAGTATTCAATGCAAAACAACACTCCTTGAAAATAACCTTTGATTTGAGTTTGTTTGGTCTGAGAAACAATTTGAAGTAGTGATTAAGGCATCAGCTAGAAACTGAGAGACCCATGAGTTCTTCTCCTACCTTGGGCAAAAGGCCAGCTGGGTGAACTTGGGCTGGTTATTTTTTTCTCAGGCCTAGGAAAAAGGCACTGGCAAACCACTTCTGAAAACCTTGCCAAGAAAACTGCAAGCCATTGTTCAATTCTTTGAGAATTGGTCATGATTGAATGGAAGATTTTTTTTTTTTTAAAGGCATGGTTCACTTGCTTGTCCTGGCTATAGCAGTAGTATATATGAAACATACAGGTAGTCCTCAACCATAGTTGAGCCCAACATTTCTGTTAAACAAGAAAGTTGTTAAGTGAGTTTTGCCACACTTTAAAACCTTTCTTGTTAAATAGGTCACTGGAATTGTTAAGTTAGTGACATATTTGTTAAATGAGTCTGCCTTCCCCACTGACTTTACTGTCAGAAGGTCACGTGTCTGAATTTTGATCATGTGACCACGGGGATACTGCAACAGTTATGTGTATAAAACGGTCATAAATTACTTTTTAGTGCCGTTGTAACATTGAACTGTCACTATGCGAACAATTGTAAATCAAGGATTACCTGTCTGTGAGAGATATCAAGAGACTGGAAGTATATCAAAGATTGAGAAATTTTATGTCTTCCTTTCCCCTGCACATTTAACTTTTTGTGAAGTCAATTCGAGTCTCACCAGGCTCGAGGTTGACTCAGCCTTCCATCCTTCCGAGGTCAGTAAAATGAGGACCCAGATTGTTAGGTGCAATATGCTGACTCTGTAAACCACTTAGAGACGGCTGTAAAGCACTGTGAAGCGGTATATAAGTCTAAGTGCTATTGTAATTGTGCTAGTTATGCCAAAGAAAGGCAAGTATTATTATTACTATTAAAGAAAACTATTATATATCATTGCTTATTTTGAGATCTTTAATTTGCCTTCAGGTAACTTTCTGGGACAAAAGAAAAGCTGTGGACAACAGCTATAGGGAAACTGCTAAGGATAATTATAACAACCAAGACAATGAAAAGCAGCTCAAATCCTGGCAACCCTGTTTTTAATTCAGACTTCTGACATCCTTTGAAACTGAAACCATCACCTCCAGAACCTGGTTGTATAGAGAAAGAAAAAAGTGCTAGGCTGCCAATTTCCATAGTTTGCAAATGCTCTGACACAGATTATGCTACTCTTTCGTATTATGCGGCATTTTTATAGCCCAGCACATACAGTACATAAAAGAACATTCTAGGACAATAAAGAATATTTACCATTCACATTCACTAGTTGCAACATATCAGTTTACTAGCAAGTAAAGAGCTGAGGTGGCGCAGTGGTTAGAGTGCTGTACTGAAGTTACTTCAACTGACTGCTAGTTCAGCAGATCAGCAGATTAAATCTCACCCACTCAAGGTTGACTCAGCTTTCCATCCTTCCGAGGTGGGTAAAATGAGGACCCAGATTGTTGGGGGCAATATGCTATTTAGTATACTGTCGATTGTTGTAAGCCGCCCAGAGTCCTCGGAGAGTGGGCAGCATAGAAATATAATAAATAAATAAATAAATAAATAAATGAATGAATGAATGAATGAATGAATGAATGAATGAATGAATAAATAAATAAATAAATAAATAAATAAATAATAAATAAATAAATAAATAAATAAATAAATAAATAAATAAATAAAGTGTCAAACAGAACTTTAGGACAACTTATATGGTAATATCCCAGTTATTTACCGGAGTGTGAGTGTATAGTCTCCCTGTTTCTTCGTTGATGCATCTCGCACCAAGAATGTTCCATCTGGCATGTCTCGGAGTTTGTCATTTACCTCTTCTCTGGAAGTACAAGAAATAAATAAAATACATTTACTTTTACTTTTAATGGGATTACATCGTAATAGCAATGTTAATTGCAAAAACATCTACCCTGTTTTCCCCAAAATAAGACAACCCCTGATAAGCCCAATTGGGCTTTTGAGCACATGGCAATAAGGCCAAGCACTTATTTCAGGTTCAAAAAAATATAAGACAGGTCTTATTTTGGGGAAAACATGGTAGGTACTCTTGTTTTGTTTCCTTCTAAAACAATTACACATTTCCTACTTAAAACTTTCAGAACACTATTGCCTAAAATAGTTTGCAGTCAATTTTTAGAATCTACTTATATGGTTTGAAGCTTTAATTAAACTTTTTTTAAAAAAACAAGTTAATATTTGAACTAGTTATTTTTGATTAGTTATAGTTACCGATGAGTGAAGTAACTAAGGATTGCTTCACATCAGGTTATTTACTGTTGATACTTTTAAATTACTTGAATCCAAAGAGAATTTTACATTAATTAAATGTATACAATGTATCAATTTATGTTTTGTAGCTTATTATTTCCTGAACATATACTTGGTTGTAATAAATGATTAAGCTACATGGGACTTTACCTAAATAGTAGTCTACTTTTTTTGTTGATTTTATGAACCAATTTAAGAAAACTACAAAATCAATTATTTGAAGAATGACACTGATGTGTGGCAGTTACTGGGCAAAAGAGATTTTTTTAATGAAATAAAAGGACTCTTTATTGATAATCACAATATTTCTAATTTGCACAATAATGGTTGTGATGTGGCTATAATAGGAACTGTAGCTCTGCCAGTGGAAAAGAAGCATTGCTACTCCCTTGCCACCTCTCTAAGAGTGCACTGTACATGACCTACTGAATCATATACTCTGCATTATCTAATCAAATACCTTTTCTCCTGATTCTTTTTTAAATTAGACAGTTATATTAAATGCAAAAGGGTTTAAGATTAAATTCACTTGAAATTAGGCTATTTTAGACATTTGATTTTAATGTAAAAATCAGTTTTTACTTATGAAAATGTAGTTTTCAAAAATTAGAGTATCTATTTCCTGATTTCATCATATGATATCATTGATTTCATATGGTTTAACAAGTAGCAAAATTGTAATTTTAACCTTGAGTAAAAAAACTTCACCAAGCTTACTATCTTCACAATACTGCCTACATAATTGCATATTATTTAATATTCTTTACCTTGAGATGTCTCCCCAGTACCATTCCGCTTCCTGCAATGGCGAGCTGCAGTTCTCTTTTATCTCATTTGTATTGATAGGAGTTATTGGTTTGGAGGGCTTTGGAGGAAGAGCTGAAAGAGAAATTTGGTCTATTATTTCGGACCGCATAGTACAATCTAAAAAATTTAAAGAGAGGATTCAACTGGGAATAAGATAATTTAAGAACACAATTATTAATAACATGCAAGAACTAAAGACAAAAGTGTCCTTCCTGAAATTTAAGATACATTTTGTTTAGCTGTTATTTGATTACACATAAAACTATTTCATCTGCAAATTTTATTCCGGAATTAGGTAGTGCTTGAATTAAATAAATTACATTAATGTTTGCCATAACACAACATACAGTTATCTTGCATTTTGAGTTCAATCAGTTGTTACAGCCAGTCAAAAGGCTCTGAGTAATATGAATTGTATTGAAATGGAAGAAGCACTGTATGATAAAATGGGGCTAAGACTCTGGATATAACATATTGATGGAACAGTGGGGGAATATATGTGCTTAGAAGGACTGACATTTACATTGTTATAACTTAAAAGAGAACTTTTAGAAAGTTATATGCTGTTGGTTGATTCCAGAAAAATTGTCTTGAATGTATAAAGGTACTTCAAATTTATTTTGGAAATGTGAAGAGTAAGAAGGGTCATTTTATCATGATTGGTAGACTTGTAAAAAAGCCAGACATTTTTGGATTCAAATACATATAACGATACAAAGAATTTTAAAGATCAATGTTCAACTGAAACCAGAACTTTTCTGGCTAGGATTAATGGAAAGCCAATTAAAAAAGAGCCGTTGAAGATTATTTAAGATTATTTAATATGCACATTTGCACACACACACACACACACACACACACACACACACACACACACACACACAAATTTCCCCTGGATTCATGTCTGGTTTCCCTGACCTCAAAAACATACACAATTATATTTGATTAATACCCAGATAGAAAAATAACAAAAAATACCGGATGTGAAAAGGCAACTGCAAATCACGTTTATATCACTGCCAAGAAAACTAACTGGACATATCTATGAAGTCATTGGGAGCTAAGGTTGACTCAAAGGAGACACAATTTTATGAGTGATGAACATGCCTTTTCAATACAGCACTGGCAAAAAGAAAAACTTACGCAAACTATTGAAGATCTCTTATAAAATATTTCCTAAATCCTTTTCCACAAATGTTTAGTGCTATGTAATATATTGCACAAAATAAAAGCTGTGTTTAATTTCAGGAGTACATTTTGTAGAAAACACGTGAGGTCTGCATCCTAAGGAACATGATAGTATACTGCCAAAAACACACGGTTTGGATGCATAAAGCTCGTGACATTTCCCTTTAAAATTACCCTATCCTAACTGGGTCGGGGAATTTTAAGATAAAATAGATGGCCTATGAGAAACAATGTCCCCTTGATGCTTTTAATACAGCTATGCATGTTCATAAGCAGGAAAAGTAAATCCTAATGTAGCCACACTAATATAGCTAAAGGGAAAACAAATAACAATGCTGAGGTCAAACTGCATGCTAATATTTTAGGACTTTAATGTAAATATAGCAAATTTATTCTCTGTTTACTCCAGAGGGCAGAAAACAAACCAATAAACTCAAGTCCTAAGACATGGGGTTTTCAATTAAACTTCAAGAAATACTTTTTAGCAGCAGCTATTCAAAAATGGAATTGATTATCTTAAAGCTGGTGGACTTGCCTTGTTAAGATTTTGTATCCTTTGTTTAGAGATTAACTTTGTTCCAGTGGAACAGACCTCTGAGGCTCCTTCCAAGTTCATGTTTCTAAATGTTTCCTATCCCAAAATATGTTTCTAAACTTGACTTGAAGAGTGAAAAGTATCTTTATTAGCCATGTTAATGATAAGTTAGAAGATGGGTGTAACAGAAGGTTTAGAAAAGGAGGTGCATGGGGGTGTAGGTTTGGAATGAATTCCTATATATTTAGAACAAGAGTGCAACAGGAACTGTGATAGTGTACAACTATTTTCTAAACACCAATGTTAGTTGTTAGCATTCTGTACCTACAGAGCAGTCAAATTACAGAAGATAATGTTGCAGATTCACAAGATGTCATTATATCTTTCAGATACATAAATAAAACATATTTGAATATTTCTGCCTTCATAAATTTAAAATAATTATTGATATGACAAATTTAGGATTTTTATTTCAATTTCTGTTCTGATCCTGGGATACCCATCATATATCTGCTAGGCACTGGGCTCACAAAAAGTATCATGTGATCATTAATCAGTCATACTTTCAATCACAGTGGAAACTCCAGAATTTTGCATTATATTGTATTTAATTATATAATGTATTTATATATTATATAAATAAGGGATGTTCACATTAACTCTATATGAAACCATCACTGTTTCACAGAACTGTGAATATAAATATACAATATTTAAGGAAAAATTGCTTCACATGCTATCAAGAGAGAACCTGGTATAAATTACGAATATAAAACCAGGAATAAGGGTCTTAAGTATCAGGGAGGCTGTTTTCTGTTGAATATTAGGAAAAATTCACCAGTAAGAGCACTTTAACAGTAGAAATCAATAACCAATAAGAATGTGAGCTCCATTTCCCTGGATGTATTGAAACAGGCTGGACAGTTATGGGCACTTTTAATTGAATTTATGCACTGAACAAGGGCTAAACTGATTGGTTTAAATGGTCCCTTTCAGGTTTATGATTCCATGAAATAAACAATAGCATGCTAGGATACAGTTACTCTGAACTATGTCCTGCTATAACTGGAAAAGGATCGAGAGAATTAAGAACAAAGTATGCCAGTTGCAATTTACCACTTTCTATACAAAGAATAATTTGCAGGTATGCAAAGTCATAATCTAAGCAGCCACACAGAGTTTGAAGACTGAGTTTGGCTCAATGATCAGTGTAGATGCCAAAGAACTAAAAAGACCAGAGCAGAAACCTCTCTCATAATCTTTTACAGCATCTGTTACAAATCCCAATGCAATGTACTGGATTTGTCTCTTTAGAAGGCTAAGAATACTGCCCGAGTTCTTTACAGTTCATAAAGAGACAAGAGGACTTGTATGCTGCTAAAGGCAGCTTTATTGTTAGCAGACTATTTTTAATAATCTGTGAGCTGCTCTGGTTACTCTTGTGGGCTAAAAGCAGCCGACAATTTCATTTGAATATAATCATCTTTACAAACAAAAAACAAAAAAACAGAGAATGAAAAATAGAAATTAAAAAGATAAACCTCATGCAATAGGGGAAAAAAGCTCCTAAGAAAACAAATGTATTTAAGCGAAAACAAATGTATTTAAGAGAAAAAGAATTAAACACATTACTAAACCTTGACCACATGGATGGACAACACGGGAACTAAATCAGCTATATAAAATGAAAGAGAACATTCAGTAAGAATACATCCAGGTACAGATTGTGGAACATGGCATCAATTTTAGGTGCCAACTACATGGATTACCTTTAGAAAATGAAAGATGAAACATGTCCCAGAAAGATTTGAGCTGGAAGATACAATACACAGTTAGAACTCATGGTCAATATAAATAATGGGTTAAATATGTTTAATGAGTGAAAGAGACTCTAGGAGCTATGTGTAGAGATATTAGAAAGAACAAAGTGAAAAAAAATATTCCCAAAATTTTAAACAGGAAAGAACTGAACAAGGCTGCATAGTAATTGAATGATGACTTTCAGTATCAAGCAAGAGAGTAATAAGAATGTATCTCAATCAAGAATGTAAAACAAGGAAAATAATAAAAATGAAAAATGTTTCAAAAGAATTATAGGAAAATTTACAGTATAGCCATGACAGAACTACTAAAGAGTAAGCATAAAAGTTATCTAATAGAGGCAACCCCCTTTTAAAAGAAGTACAGAAAGATTAATACAGTAAAGGGAATATATTCATTAAACCATTCCACAGAAACCTTTGGTATCATAGGCAATAAGCCAGCAGACCTATAGGAAAGCAATAGGAAAAAAAAGTACCTGCACTTATTTAACGGTTAAAATTTAGGCAAAGAGGCAGTTAAATTGCTGATAAATCCAATAAATTTCAACATATTGAAATTCTAGGGCCTATAGATGAAAAACGATCAGGTTATATAATCATCCTAAAGAAGGGATGCAAAAAAAAAAAAAATCCTTGAAACCTGTCATAGTAATTTCTCATACAACAAAGTTTTGCTTAAAATTTTACAAAGAACAAAGCTATACAGGGAGACAGCAAAATGAATGGACAGGCAGTTTTCAGAAAAGATAGAGGGACACAAGATCAGATAACAAACATAAAATGGCTAACAGAGGAAGGAAGAGAAAGTAAAAAAAGAAAATTACCCTTTCTTTATTGACTACAGCAAGGCTTTTGTGTAGATCATACCAGTACGTGTCCTACATTACAGCTAATCAAAGTGTCCGAAGATCCAATTATTCTTCTGAGGAAGCTTTACAATGATCAAGAAAGCTACTATAAGAACTGAATTGGAGAATCAGGGTAGTTGAGAATAAGGAATAGATTGAGAAAGAATGCACATTGTCCCCATATCTATTTAACTTGTACAGCAAATACATCTGAAGAATAGAAGATGATGGCTTGGACCAAAATTTGAGATGAAAATGCGAACAATTTAAGATCTGAGATGACACCACTTTGTTAACTGAAAGTAAAGAAGCTTTAGAACAGTTCAAAATGGAAACTGAAAAATCTGGGTTGATGTTAAATATTAAAAAAACCCTGTTTATTGAACTGGTTGGTGGCAAAGCTTGACGTATATTTTAGTTTTCTTGGGATCAAGGAAAGATAGTGTGCATTGTTCTAGGAAAAGTAAAGAGATTTACTAAGGAGGATGCAACAACAAATTAAGATATGATCATTTCTATGATCCTCACTCCACAAAAGATCCAAACAAGTGAAAGTAATGGTTATTCCAGTGATAAATATAGAAATGTAAAATCAAAACTTTGAGAAAAAAATGAGATGGAAAAGATGGTCACCTTCAACTTACAGACAGCATTATGAATGGCAAAAATTAATAAATTGGTTCTGAATAAAACAAAGACTGATGCTCCCTTAACTTGGAAAGTCTAGGAAAGTGAGAGAATAAGAAGGCAATAGAAAAGACAAGAGATCAAAAAAGATTACTGGAATATACTTGAAAGAGCTATAAATTATTGCTGGCACAGGTCCTGGCATTTATTTATAAAGCTGCAAGGAGTTTCGGCCCAGATAACTAAATTACTAATGGTAAACAGTTTACATACATTAACAACTTACTCATAGTTTTATTATATATTTTATAACTCACATCACCCTGAACAAAGTTTCCAAATGCAGATTCAGAATGGTTTCTTTGTTAAAGTAATTGTAAAAGTTTCTTTCTAGTTCTAAAATTCTATGAAAAATAGATTTAAATGTGAAAGAACTTGCATTTGAAAGTTCTAGAATCTAGGCAGTTGCATTCAATGGCTTTCATACAAGTAGCAGAGCCTTTTATTAACTGCTGTGGATTTTCTCTGTTGTCTCCCAGGCCAGATGTGAACTTGGAATTTTTAATAACCAAATTCCAATATTTTACTAATAGGGAAAAACCAATCAAATACCAGCTGTTATGCGACTATCAAGTGATGCCAAGAACCCAAAAGCAAATATGTCCAGATAAAGCTTGTCCAATAGAACTAAAACTCGGCCAAAACATCCCATTGCTTTATTTAATAGAGTACCAACTTTTCAAATTACCGGTACATATTATTTCACTGCATTTTAAAACAATATAAATAATAATTGAGAACAAAATTTCTACATTTAATTTTAACCCCTTTAACTTTAAAGGAAAACTATACAATATAATAAAAGTAAAAAACTGAAAAAACAAAGGCAAAAATGAAAATAACATTGGGTTTTTTTTTTACATTATAGAACTCTGATTTTGTGTAGTTTTTAAAAACTCAAATAAATTGATCAAACAGGCACGACAGAAGATTCCTGAGGAATAAGCAGAAATATTCTTCTCTGCTGAGAAGTACAGGTACTTTTGGTCCTTTGGCCCCAGGTATACCAGGAAAACTACAATTTCTGGCAGAGATATCTTTTGGCTCTCAAACATTTCAAAATTCAATTTTACAGCCCGCATAGCCAATATAAAAAAAAAGCTATAACTTAGTTCAAACAAGATTTGGAGGGACACAACTTCCTCTAAAATTATTGGTTAATTTTATGGGTAAGGGGTTTTAAATTGGGGAAAGCCATTGGATTTAATTTTGTTTTAAATGCATTTTAATGTTTGTATTGGATGTTTTTAACCTTGGCTGTTCACCGCCCCGAGTCCTTCGGGAGAGGGGGCGGTATAAAAAATAAATAAATAAATAAATAAACAAACAAACAAACAAACAAACAAACAAACAAACAAACAAATAAATAAAGTAATACTGGATGGAAAGTGAACATGTAACTCCTTTTTCCCCCTAGAAAAAACCTTACATCTTGCTGATGGATCTAATTCAACATGGAATATCCTTTTATCAAAGGAGATGTTAAAGAAAACATTACTACATCTTTGAGCAACTTTGTATAACCCCAAGCCCATCATTTTTCATTAGTGATCTATTGTTCCAAAATTAATAAAACAGCAGCCTTACTCCCACTCTTAGAATAAAAAAAAAGCATAATTTGAGTTTGAAAATCTGTATTTTAAAAATCCATATTGTTGAAAATTATTTGAAATAAAGCATTATTAATTGGCTGTAAATGATGCATATTTTTCAAAGCAAGCTATCTTAGTTTATTACTTTAGATAGATTTCTGGAAGTTAACACAGTACTTACTATTCATAGAAAGCGGGAAGAATCACATGAAGGGCCCTCAAGACGAAGTTCTTAAATTTGCAAGACACATGCAACCTTAGTTATTATTTGGCCAGCTAATAAAATCTGACAGTTCTAGGTTAAATTAGCATCTGTTTGAACCAAGCAATGGATGTATAAAGTAATTTAGATTCTTTCTCCCATAAAGCATTATGAACGAAATATCTGATTTGCTGATTTAACAAATCTCTAGTCTTTGGCATATAGCAATAGTAGGGCACCTGGTATCAATGCTCTAGAAGTATCACACAACTTTAAGTAACTGTCAAAAACTACACTGATGAAGAACAGTATTGCCATATAGTGTGTGCACTTTATAATAAACCTTAAAATTAAAATGTAATTTATAGTTGAGAAATATAGAACAGTTTAATGTAGTGGATGGAGAGTGGGAGGATAAAGAACGTACATGGAAAAATATTTTCCTTCGAAAATAAGATTCCCCCATTTAATGCATCTTTAATGCAATAAATATAAATTATATAAAAATATGAATGTAGTGAATAAATGTATAAATAATTCTTTTCCCTTGGCGATCACTTATCCCAATAGAATTTTACTTTTTCTTTAATGCATGGATCTATTTGAAAACACAATGTTAAAAATTGTAGCAATGATTTTCATTGATAGGAATGTTGTCTACCCCTGAGATGCCTTGATACTACAGTTGAACTATTCTTCTGGGGGAAAAAATCAGCACAACAAAAGTCTGAATAACAATACCCAGGGCCTAGTGGCTCAGCATCTCACCAGGCTCAAGGTTGACTCAGCCTTCCATCCTTCATATCCTTTCTAAGGTAGGTAAATTGAGGACCCAGTTGTGGGGGCAATAAGCTGACTTTGTATAAATATATAAAAGTATGAAGGCTATTGCTTAACACATTGTAAGCCGCCCTGAGTCTCTGGAGAAAGGCGGCATATAAATCAATTTTTTTAAAAAAATACCCATCTCTAGTTTGCGTACCATGTTTATGATTTGAAAAATATTTATTTTTCTATACCTGGGAATCAATACAATCAATTTCAGGGGAGGAACAGGCTCGGGCTCAACCCTTCCAAGACTGAGTGGCTGTGGCTCCCGGCATCCCGATATAGTCAGTTGACTCCATCACTGACTATTGGGGGCGAGTCGTTGGCCCCCACAGAGAGGGCTCGCAATCTGGGAGTCCTCCTGGATAGGCAGCTGTCCTTGGAGGAACATCTGACGGCTGTAACCAGGGGGACCTTTTGTCAGGTTCGCCTGATCCGCCAGTTGCGGCCCTTTCTTGATCGGGATTCCCTGTGCACAGTCACTCATGCCCTCGTCACCTCTCGCCTTGACTACTGCAACACTCTCTACATGGGGCTCCCCTTGAGGAGCACCCGGAGGCTCCAACTGGTCCAGAATGCAGCAGCGCGGGTAGTGACGGGAGCAGCCTGGCGCTCCCATGTAACACCGCTCCTGCGCGAGCTGCACTGGCTCCCAGTGGTCTTCCGGGTGCGCTTCAAGGTGTTGGTTATCACCTTTAAAGCGCTCCATGGCATAGGGCCTAGCTATCTTCGAGACCGCTTGCTGCCACCAACGATCTCCCATCGACCCGTGCGCTCCCACAGAGGGGGCCTCCTCGGGGTGCCATCAGCCAAACAGTGCAGGCTGGTGACCCCCAGGGGGAGGGCCTTCTCTGTGGGGGCACCTACCCTCTGGAATCAATTGCCTCCAGAGATAAGGAGAATCCAAGACCTCGGTGCCTTCCGCCGTGCCCTTAAAACCTTCCTTTTCCAGCAAGCCGGGCTGGCCTAATTTTTTTAAGTGTTTTTAAGTGTTTTGTTTATTGTTTTTAATTAATGGGGCCAAATTTATATATGTATATTTTAACTGTATTTTAATATTTGTATTTGATGTTTTTACTTGGCTGTTCACCGCCCTGAGTCCTCAGGGAGAAGGGCGGTATACAAATTCAAAATAAAATAAAAAAAAATTTTTTGGGAGTTAACTAGGCATATGCAAGCTAAATTAGATGATTTTTCACAATAAGAAACACAACTTTGTACAATGTGATAAGGCTCTTAAAATGTATCTGCAACAGTACTCCCATTCTTAAAGTCAGCATCACCAACCAACCTGCTGCATTCAGAATTCCAATGATTCTATCTGAACATCGGAAACTGAATTTTGAAAGAAACAGCATTTCAGTCAAATATGAAATGTGCTTAAACTCATATGTTAGTGATGTCAGTATGCTGACTATTTATGACTTTCTATCGAGGAGCTTTAGCACAGCTGCTCATGCTTTGCAAATTATTTTCCTTTTCTGTACCCACAATTTAGCTCAATAATTCAATTTTTGTGTGAATGTGTTTATCTACATAGAAATAATGGCCTTTTTCATTCAGTGGGCTTTCATGTATAAATAAAGTTTGCACACGACTGCAGTCTTATTACCTCAAAATATGAAACAAACTGAAGCTTTAGACAGCAAAAAGAAAGTGTTACTAAAAGGTAGTCATAGTAGTATTTTACACTACAGGTAGTCCTCACTTAGCAACCATAACTGGGGCTGGCAATTCCATTGCTAAGCACTATGGTCACTAAGTGAAAATCACATTATCATGATGGGCTTATACTTTCCCTTCAGTTGTTAAGCAAATCACTGTAGTTGTAAAGTGAAACATCACGTGATGGCAATTTACAATTTTACTTCTGCCTTCTCTACTAACTATGATTGCCACAGGCCAGTTTTCAAGCATGCAAAGTTTGCACAAGACTGCAGGATAGTCATAAATGTGAGGAGTGGTCACAAAGCTATTTTTAAACATAACTGTAACTTCAAATGGCTACTAAATGAGGCAGTCAGGAAACAATGCTTATCTGTACTACCATGAATATTGTGGTAATTTTAAAAAAGGTAAAGGTAAAGGAATCCCTGAAGATTTTACTTGGCTAGTTGTTGCTGACTATTTTAAAAAATATTTTTTATACTAACACTTATAGATCTCAGGCTTCATCACATCCATGCAATGAAAAGTCCCTCTCATAGGACCTCACTCCATACATCAGATGAAGTGGTGTAACACGTGATAAAAGAAAATTGGATATAGCTATTTTTTTTTTTAAAAAAAAGATAGTGGTATAGTGCAGTAGTGGGTTCCACTTACCTTCGCTACCAGTTTGGAATCAGGAGCACACGTGCGCGCTCACAATGCGTAGTGTGTCTGTGATGACATCTGGGTGGGTGGGCGGAGCCTCCCACCACCGCCACTACCGGTTTGCCCGAACCGGGGCGAATCAGTAGAAACCCACCACTGGTATAGTGGTTAAGGGATTGAACTGGGACTCAGATTGAAAACCATCCTCAACTATGTTAGTTCAGTGAGTGACTTTGGGCCAGTCACTCTCTCAATTCAGCCTACCTCTTAGGACTGTTCTTGTCAGGAAAATAATATGGAATTTTGGTATATACTGCCTTGAGTTCCTAGAGGAAAGATGGCATATAGATCAGGCAAGTTTTTCCAATGATATTCCTTAATATTATGTATACAGTAGAAATCTAAGTTCCAAAATATGTTATTGCATTCATTTAGACTATAAAGGTTGAAACTTCTAGCATACCAAGACATTTCCATATTAACTTTTATGATAATTTAGAATCTACTTCAAACTCCAGAGTTCCCACAGTATGGACTGTATTGTGAGTGTCGAGCCACATTTTTCCTAGTTCTGTGTGACTTATATCACACTGAAACTAAAGCTATTATTATCTTCTACAATGCTGATGTTCTGCAGAAATTGAGAGTTGTTTGTTTTCCCATTGGCAGGAATTCTTGCCTCATCCTGTCACTTGATTTTTAGCTTCAGCATCCTGTTTCTGATAGCCTCTAAATGCCTATTGACAAAGATCTTTCCCTTCTCTGGTTTACCACAGCAGTATGGAGTCCATGATTAGAGGTTGCAGGTAAAATACGTTGTTGCCAAAATGTTGATACATTATTCTTTCATCATCATCTTTTGTAAAATGATTTTAAATACAGGAGAAAAGGCAACTTTATAACCAGAAAGGTTATTTCATAGCGATCAGGTTTTCTTTCCTTACAAATGACCGAATACATTCAATATGGATTACTATCAAGTGGGGGTTATTAATAATTTAAATTTCCTTCTTATGTGGAGTAGGGATGAGTGGGGGCTGTTGCTATTCGGTTATAGCTCAGAAAATGGGAAATTAATTTAATTGTTTAAACTATTATTTGTCACCTCTTTAAGTTCTGATTTACTCAGTTTGTTTTCTGCATATTGTTATACCTGAATATCCAGAAAACAACCTGAGAAAATCAGGGCTTAAAGAAGTGAATAGTGGTGAAGATGCTTCCCTCCCAACTTGGAAGGCTGAGAGTCCTAGGTAGCTGCCAATGTTTTTCCCCTAAGGCACAAAGAAAAAATATCTGTTGCGATCTCCCTGTGGCGTCAGGAAGGGCACCCGGCCAGCTCAGTTCCATCCAGTCATTCCAACTCTTCCCTGAATTAAGGAATCACAAGGTTGTCAAAAGGGAGGGGTTTTTTACATGTATGTAAAAACGCATATTTTGTGTTCTTTAATTGGCAGAAAACAAGATAAATACAGTATGGCATTATTATTTTGGAGGAATTGGAGTTAATAATGGCAGCATGGAAAATATTCTAAATCATACAATAGACTTTAGAAAAGAAATATTTCTGCAACTTCACATTGTAACACTGATAAAGACAAAATTAAACAATATCTTATTATGAAAAGTATTATCATGGTTAATAATTTTAATTGTAATATTAAGTGCAAAGAGTTAAACAAGTAATTAAAATAATGACTAAAATTACTCAGATGCTTTGTCAACTACTATTAAGC